ACCCTCCTCCTCCTCCTCCTCCTCCTCCTCCTCCCCCCCCTCCTCTGACCCAGGACTGGTACTTCAAGACCCCACTGGGCATGAAGAAGATCGAATTTAACAAGGACCTGGAGGCTGAGGAGGCCAGGCTGGCAAAGGAGAAGAAAAAACGGAAGTGACTGCTGAGGAGTGCCCGAGAGGGGCGGTGGGGCTGGGGCAAAGGGCCTGGGGCAGAGGCATAAACTCCCAGATGGCTTGGGGACCAGCTCTCTTTGTCCATCTCCGTGCTTCCACTCCTTGTTCTGACCCTGGCTCCACCTCATACCCGACCCTGTTGAGTTTCTCTGATCCCAGATCTCTGTCCTCTGACCTCACCCAGTCATTTTTGTGTCCTGGCTCCCCACTCCCTTTCTTCCTCGAGGCAGGTAGGGGAGGAAAATGGGAAGAGAAGGAGAGAGAGAGAGGGGGAGAGAGAGAGAGCGAGAACATAAGAACAAGTGAGAGAGAGAGAGAGAGAGAGAGAGAGAGAGAGAAGGCAGAGCTCGGTAAGTAGAATAAGAAGGAAAAGCAGGAGTCTGGAGGTCAGCAGAGCCTGGTCCAGCCCCGCTCGGCACTGACCCCTGTGTGGGCTGCACAGTCCTTTCCTGACTTGACCTCAGAGTCCTCACCTGTAAAGTAAGATGACCTCCGGCCGATCTCCTTTCTACTCTGGGGTTGGATATTCCTCCCAAGGTGTCTGGGAAGTGAGGGAGGTGGTGGATGGGGAAGAGAAAAGGTGGGGAGATGGAGGTAGTTGTGACTGCTGGTAGATCCAGTGCCTTTTCTGAGTGGTCTTCACTTCCTCTTTCCTCTGGACACCTTCTCCCGCCTGCCTTTGTCTTTGACCCAGAGCCTGGTCCCAAGGGGCTCAGTGAGCAGAAGTCCATCTCTGGGTCCTTCTTGTGGGGAGAGAAGAGCTCGGGGGAACTGAAGTCAGGAAACTCTGGGGTTCTCCCGAAGAAGCAGTGTAAAGAGTGTGTGCATTGCCCTGACTGGTTTGGCTCAGTGGATAGAGCGTCGGCCTGCGGACTCAAGGGTCCCAGGTTCGATTCTGGTCAAGGGCATGTACCTTGGTTGTGGGCACATCCCCAGTGGGGATGCAGGCAGCTGTGTGCTGGAGGCAGCTGATCGATGTTTCTAACTCTCTATCCCTCTCCCTTCCTCTCTGTAAAAAATCAATAAAATATATTTTTAAAAAATAGTGTGAATAAAGGTCAAGGGTCCTCCACAGGCTGTAAAGGCAACGAGAGCCAAGCGTGGCAAGGCGAGGCCGCGGGGGCCGGAGTTAGCTCCTGTGGCAGAGGTGGCTCCGCTGAGCCCAGGGGATGGTTTGAGTTTTCGTTCTCCCTTTTTTCATTTTCTCTCCCCAAATGAAAGTCGCTTTATTATCCTAATGTGGGCAGAGCCGCCTCCTCCTTCTCACTTTCCAGCTGAGACCCCTTCTGACCGTGGCAGGTAGAGAGGTGATGGGAGATGCAGGGGTCATCCACAAAGACGGGGTCAGCACTAGGGCTGTGGGAGATGAGCACCGAGGAGGTATTGCTGCTGGTGGGAGCCCTGTTCCCCTGGGTAGAGTCTGTCCAGGTAAGAACCCCCGGAGGAGATCACTCATAGAGGGGGCCTTCTCTGCAATTGTCCCTACTCTGAATCCCTCCCTTAGGTCTGGGAGGGTGACGGTGTGGGGCTAATTGGTGACATCTGGGAAAACAGGAAAAATTATGTGCACCCACCTGCCCTCCCTGGGCCCCAGCAGCTGGAGGCCTCTTGGTGGAGCACATGATAGATGAGAAAGAATGAGAAATGGCAGCTGGAGACCGCCC